AAAATATGTTTATTAATCCTCATCAAGGGGACTGGGAATTTAACCCCTTTTTATATGGTCCTGACCCTTTAAAATTCTTGGGCGTTACTGAAAAGGATAGATTTACAGATAATGCAGCTCACAGAATCAAAATAGCAGAAGGAATATGGTCCTCATATTACGAAGGATATATTAGGAACTTGCGGAAGTTTCAAACAAAAACTGGAAAGGGAAACCCCTTGGAACCTAAGGAAGGTCAAATTGTTTTGTTGAAACCAAATATGCTTAAAGAAAACTCTCCTTTACACCGGATTAAATGGAAACTAGCAAAAATCATTAATGTATATCGAAGCAGAAGAGACGGAAATATCAGAGTCGTAGATATTATTACTACCTCCAAAACTGGGGGGGATAAATTGCCTAAGCCTAAAATCCTCAAAAATCAATCTGTACAAAATCTTATTCCCCTAGAAGCAGAAGTTCAACAAATAGAAGATAAATTCCTAAAAGAATTTACTGTTAAAAAACTAGAATCAGCGAAAGAGGTATTTTTGTGTTTGGAAAAGATTGTTTGAGGAAAGAAAATAGGGTAAAATTAAATTCAAGTGTGTCCTCAAGGACAGAATTTACAACAAAAAACAAAAAATTGTTTGATCTGTTTAAAAACAAAAAAGAAAATTTTTGAAAATGATCGTCAACTTAAAAAATCTTTATTCAAAGAAAAAAGTTCGTCACATCAAAACTTATGCAAAACTCACAAAACATAACTTCAGCGTCAAAATAAACAAAAAGAACAAAATCGAAACCGCAAAAGTAAAAGATTCATCTGATCAAATAAACTTCATCAAACAAAACGAACATTTGACCCTTGTCCCCAACAAGCCAAAAACCCTTGTGAGTCTTTGTTATTACGATCATATTCTGACGAGTATTTTTCAATCGCACCAAAGAACCGACCACGATCTTTCCTATGTGACGATCTCTTAATTTGAAGTCAGCCGAATTCTCTCCTGTAAGATCGATCTCGTAGCTTCCTCTGATGAACTCCAACGAGAAACACTCATCAATAATGCCTTGGCAGAAAACCTTCGGAAATCTGAAACGATAAAACCAATGACTCTGATTAGTTAAAATGAAGATTTAATTTAGTTAAAATACATACACATCAAATGGATTCGGAGGTATTAGTTGCTCTCCAACTCGCTTCAAGGTTCCATGGGGCTTTCCAAAACAGTAGGCTTCTCCATTTGCCCCGCAATGATTATGGACACGACGAGGAGATTTTCCGCATGTAGCAGTCCCGTCCGGAAGCCAAGCAGGGGGGGTTCCATAACATGAACTGAAAAGATTAAAAAGTGATGAATTTCACGTTTCAAAATTTCCAGCTAGAGACTCTCTCTTACCTGATATCTTTCCATTTCTGGACTCCAAATTCTATGGCAAGACCGAACTGAATAGCCAACGCATGATCTCGAGCGAAGACCAAATACGCCCGCATGTATAGATGTCCGAAAGCTCCTCGGATGTCACACGTCTTAGCAAAAGGTAACAAATGAAGGATCGGGGTGGGAAGCGGAATCCAGGCAGGACCATCTATTTTTAAATTCCCTTGCCGTATCCCCACGATTGAAACCAAGTAGTTATGGAAAGCATCTTGTAGAGCATGCGCAGCATTTGTACGAATTGAATCAGCAATTTGACGGGATCCATCCGAGAACCGCAAGGGGAAAATTGGCAATCCCTGATAATCTTTGACTAAACCCGAGTGGACGAATGAGGAATATTGACAAACTGGAGGGGGAGAAGCCCCAAGAGCAAAAGCCGTGACCCCGAATTCGAGAGCTATGTTACTCATGAACGTATTAAATTCCTCCATTAGCTTGTCAAACGTGGTATCTTGATTGTCCCAAGTCTTCGTGGCCAGATTTTTGAAGTCGTTTGTACCCATCCGAACATAGATTTGAGCGAATTCGAAGTCCTCGCCTAGATTCAGATCCTCATAAACTTTCTTCTTCCACTCAGCCGCAGTATAGCTGGTCCCATGAGCGAACGAAATCCCACTGACAGAATACTGGAAAAAACATAAAATTATTAAAAATCTCTAAAAATTGAAATCCTTCTCATAATATTTACCTGGAAAACCTCAAAGGGAAGATCCGAAGTCATGTGAGAAAAATCGAAGACAGGCTTTTGAGAGATCCGGTTAGGATCAATATGAGACACAAACGTATCCCGTCCTTTGCCAATTCTAATATATGCCGTCATCGATGACGAAATTATCAAGACTGCCACCTTCTTCGGATCATTTGCTCTTTTCGGACCTTTCAGCTTAAAATCCGGGGTTCCATGCTTCCAATCTTGAACTAAAACCCCTGGGATCGGTAATTGAATAGCGCCAAGCTTCTTTATGTGCTCCGGGGTGAGACCGAGCCGCTTCGCTACATTTCGTCGATATTTGATCAGGTCCTTTGGAAAATATTGCTTGGTCCCCATCAGTTTTCTTAAATCCTCTAAAATATAAGGATTGAAAAGGGTTTCCATTATCTGCCTTAAATAATTCTAAAGAAACTTAAATACATACCATCGGTAATGCTGGGATCTGCTTCCGTTGTAATAGTAAAAATAGTTGAAGTCGTCGCAGCCAGATTGGGCGGCAAAGATCCAGATCTTTCTCCTGGCGTCGAAAGTAAAGGAACCGGCGACGGTTTGGAAGTGGAAACTGTTGACTTCATTTGGGATGAAGTCGAAGGTTTTGATGCCTGGGGTTGCATCACTGACGTAGATCCCGTCGAAGGAGCACTTGGTCGAGCTGGAGTCTGCGACGTGGAAGCCTGATGATTTGACATTCCAGGCGGAATAGGAACGACGGGGAGCCCTTGACGAGCGGCATAACCTTTTAACAATTGATCCCTCTTTCCAATCCGTAAAGTGACAGTCTCATCGCCATGTCCTACTCGGACGGAAAGCATCCCATTTTCTATAACATAATGAAGAAAAAAGGAAATAGATACTCAATTAACTCTCTTTTTCTTATATGTTTATAAACTTGAAGATGAAAAGGTTTTTTATACATACCATCATGAGAAATGTGGCATCCTCGATCCAATTCAAACCAGAAAGACTTGTGTCCCCGCAGTTTTAAAAGAAAGGTCCCAAGATCCGTCGCCGATCTGTCTTTCATGGCCAAAGAGAATTCCCGTTTGCTGGCTCGGGCTTCTTGGTCGGCGAGTTGAAACAGCTCCTGACTGAACTCCGCCTGTTGTCGTCGATCCACCAAATCCGAACTTCGTTCCTCCATGTCAGCTACCTCCTGCTCCAGTTCCTCCAAACGTGCTCTCTTCCTCGAAGAGCTGTCCTTGCATCTTTTGAGCTCAGCTGATCCGCCTGTTGTCGTCGATCCACCAAATCCGAACTTCGTTCCTCCATGTCAGCAACCTCCTGCTCCAGTTCCTCCAAACGTGCTCTCTTCCTCGAAGAGCTGTCCTTGCATCTTTTGAGCTCAGCTGAAATCCCCTTCTTCGCCATCTGGGCAATCCCGTGGTTCTTCACGACTTCTGCATAATCTAACAGCTTGGTCCATTCCGCCGAGTCCAATCCACGAAGATCCTTTGCTCGTTCCTTTAACTCCTCCGGCAATTGAACCATCCCCGACTCGTCCTCTGGGACCTCTTCAGCATCATAAAAGGGTTCTGTAAACACATAATTTCCAGATCAGTCACAGTATTAATCAGAAAAAGGGGGATTTCCCTTCAGTAAATAATAAAAAGGAATTACCAGGTAACAATAACGATTCCTCATCCATTGGATCGTCCTCATGGACTGTTGAAGCAGCACCCGAACCAGAGGTTTCCCCTTCAGCAAGATCTGTTAAAAATTAAAATAGCTGTTAATCTTGAAAGGCTAAATTAATTTCGTAAGAAAAATTGATTATACCTATGATCAGCGGATTCACGTCATCCATTCTGCGTTTTTAAAATCAAAAGGACCCTTTTTTGCCAAAATTCACGAACTGTTCTCTAAATTTCCTCGAGGAAAATTTTCACTCAAAAGTCTGCTTATTCGCCCGTCTGAAAGAACACAAACATTAATGGCGGCAATTCTCACTTTCTTCAAGTTTTCTCGTCCTCTAGGACATCACTCAATAATTCGTAATTTGAAAATTCATAACCGCGACAAGGGATCTGAAAGGATTTGGGGACTCTCTCATGGAATCTATGAAAGGGAAAACGAAACCTGTCATTTCAATTTCACACTTCTTGAAAACCTCATTCTTTCCTACAAGGTCTTTATCATAACCGCGACAAGGGATCTGAAAGGATTTGGGGACTCTCTCATGGAATCTATGAAAGGGAAAACGAAACCTGTCATTTCAATTTCACACTTCTTGAAAACCTCATTCTTTCCTACAAGGTCTTTCTCAAACAATCTCAAACTATGAGCTTTGAATGATATCTCTTTATCATCGGAGAATTATTGCGAAGAATTATTGCGGAGAACTATTGCGAAAGAATCAATGCGGGAAAATAGCAAATGGAATCAAAGCAACTGAAATGGAATCAAAGCTACTGAAATGGAATCAAAGCTGAACGAGATCAAAGCCAAAAAAGGAAAAGAATCAAAGCTGAAGTGGAATTTAAACTGAAAAGGGAATGAATATTAAGCAGAATATTCTAAAAATTTAACGAACGGAGCGCTCCTAAAATATCTCTGAAGTAATTCAAGAATTATGATTCAAATTGAGCAAATCTATTTTTCACGAGAATGGATCTCAGTCACGACAACAGCACCGACACGACGAAAATGCGCACTACAAACAGGAAGTTTGCTCCTTTTTCCTATGTTTTTCTCAAGTGTTTTCTTCTATCTAAGTAGGGCCTGGCCAGCCCGAAAAGAGAACTCTTTCTAATTTGAAAATTTGAAATTCAACCTTTTTTCACTCAGGGATAAATAGCTCTTCCTAGATCGCCAAAAGATTCCAAACTGAACTCGAAAGCTCCGGAACTGCTGGTTTTTTATACTCTATGGACCCTCCCAAGGCCTCTACGACGGAAACTGAAGTCAAGACTTATCCTGTCTTTCGTCGAAACAAGTCAACCGGGGGGGGAAAAATCAGTTAACCGGGGGGGGAAAACAAGTTTTACTATTATGCTGTTCCGAGAAAACCGGTCGTAAAAACGGAAGGGAATTGGCGGCGCGTCACATTTTTCGATTCGCGAGAACTTGTTTGCCGAGATTTACGAGCGCGCATGTGTTCACTTTTTCCGTTGAACTTGCTGGTTTTTTATACTCTATGGACCCTCCCAAGGCCTATACGACGGAAACTGAAGTCAAGACTTATCCAGTCTTTCGTCGAAACAAGTCAACCGGGGGGGGGGAAAATCAGTTAACCGGGGGGGGGAAAACAAGTTTTACTCTTATGCTGTTCCGAGAAAACCGGTCGTAAAAACGGAAGGGAATTGGCGGCGCGTCACAATTTTCGATTCGCGAGAACTTGTTTGTCGAGATTTACGAGCGCGCATGTGTTCACTTTTTCCGTTGAACTGACTCACTTCTAGTTGGCTTCACCTCTTAAATTGATGCACTTTCTCTCGTTTTTTCGACGCACTTTTGTTTTTTCTGAACCATAAGTCCTTAAAAAAGATCAAAAACAAAAGGGGGGGTTTTGTCGAAAATTTAGATGAGGGGTGTTTAGAAACACGAGATTTGCTGGGAATCGGCAAAAGACCGATAATTAGCCCGGCTGATTATCTGGTTTTATTTATAATCCTTTCATTCCGATTTATATTTCTCATAAATTCCTCGATCCTTCTATTTTTCATCGGAAGGAAAATTCTCATTTTTCTTTCCTTGTCTGAAAGCAGTACAAAAAATCTCTTTCTGACAACAATTATTGTGGCCCAATTTCCCAAAAAGGTTACTCAAAGCAGGGACTCCCTGCCCAAAAAAATGATGTGACTGTTGAGGAAATGCTAATCCGACCCTGTTGTAAAAAAACGACCCTGTCGTATTTGGGGTAAGATTTTAGGAATGTTTCACAGTTGACGTGGGGGATCTGGCCATGAAAACGGTAACATTTAAAAGGGTATAATGTTTTCTTGGAAATGTGAAGTGTTAAATAGTAAAATCTTTCCTCGGAAATCCTCAGGATGTTCTGAATGGGTTATAATTTATGGCTGTTCATTCTTTTCATCCTCGGGAAAAATGCTGAATCCGTTTCAGATGAATAATTTGTACATTCAAGTTTACTGTATCACCCTAGTTTTTTTTTCCGTGGCCAATAACACTTCCGGGGTGACTTGCAAAAAGTGAGAAAAACCCATCATACAAAGCAACACTCTCAATGCGTTTTTGCACAGCAATTTTCTTGTATTTTTGTAAAGCAATATTCTTGCATTTTTCGCTGTAAAGGGAATTTTTCTCAAATCTTGTTTTTCTGTGTTTCGTAAATTAAAATTAAATACCTGCACTGTATAAATACGAATAATTAAAATACTGTACTAAATATATTTTTTTATTTTGCGCAAATTTTTTGTTCTGATTCTTCCAACTTCCAAAGCAATGGAAAAACGCATTCAGGCATCGAGACATTCAGACTACTTGTATCTGAACACGCGGGGCCCCTTGAGCTTTCAGTCTTCATGATTAACCATTCTTGAAATGCATTCACCACTTTTCTGAGTGTGCTTGCGTCCGAGATTGGAAAGAAATATTATCTTGCACCCCAGCTCTTTTGCTTGATTTATAGCTGAATATTGGATTCTTCTCTTTTCCAAGATGTACCTTTATTTTTCGTGCGTGAAACGAAGAGAAACATGAAGTTGGACAGACGGCGATGCATCGATGCATCATCATATGATTTACGATGGCGAGAGAGAGAGTGAACTTGCTCTTGAAAAAAAAAAATAGATATCTAACTTGTTGTTTTCTCTGAACTTTGTTTTGTCTGAACTTCGAACGTTGAATTGAATTTTTCAGTTCGACGACGGCGGTAGCGATGAAGAAGATGAGAAACCTACGAAGGCAAAATTGAAACCCTCGAATAAGGGCTCAGGATTGTTCGCAGTTTTGCCTCCACCGAGCCAAACCGTTTTCGAGAATAATAAGCCCAAGAAGCCGGCAACGTCACTTGTCCCGCAATCAGTTCTCAGACCTCGACCTCCCGCTCCGAAACCAGGGAAGCCTAAGGCATTGCCAGTGCAAGATTCACGCGAAGACTCTGACGACGAGGTTGAATGTGTTGAAGAGGAGGACTTTTTCGGCTTCAACGCAAAGGATCCGATTCCAATCATACCGATTTTACCCACCGAGACTCTCTTAGTCGATTCGTGTGAAAGGGTTCGAGAAGCGGAAATTGAACTAGAGGAACCCGACGTAATACCGGACGGGGTTGTCCATGCGGAACAGAACACTGGTGATGTGCTGCCGTCCGGCTCCAATCTTCTGGAAGATGAGGATGCAGTGAGTATTTTGTTGTACCCCGGAGTGATATTGGCTGAGTTATCGGAGGCTTCGCATCTGAAGCGTGTATATTTGCTATGAACCCGTGCCGTCATCGTAATATTACATTAAAAAGACTGACTTGAATGTAGTTTATTGAAATAAAGTTCGAGACGCATGACTTGAATTTTGACGACTGTGCAGTAAAAGCATCTTCAACGGTGAGCACGTTCAAAAAGAGTGCTAAAGCTTTTCAAAGTTGAAAAAGAGCAGAGCTTAATATATTTTTCGCGAGTTGTACTTCGACATCAGAGTTATCACGAACAACGGTTGTCCCAAGTCTGTGCAACCTTCGGATCTTACTGAAGTTGGGAAGCGGTTGAGATATTTAAAACTTGTATTTACTGTCCCTTTTTTCAATTATGTTCATGTGTCTTATCATGTTTTTATTTATCATGCACGATTACGTATACCACAGAGCTTCGTGTTTTCCACCCATCTTATTTTGAATTCTGCAATGATTTCCAAATACTGTACAGTGTTGTATTTCTGACCCGCTCGATGTAGGAGGAATGGGTCGTTTGTTGTTGCTATCATCTTCTAATTCCCATGGACGGGCGTCAGATTGTCTGAAGACGAGTAATTGTCGACACCCACTGTGTCAAAAGGAACGTAAGCCACCCAGAACTGAGGAAACCTGACAGTACTGTATATTCCCATACCTCGATTCATGGCCCCTTGAACTGTATGAGCGTATAATTTTCAAAATTGAAAGAAGGTATAAAATAAGTCCACTACAGTACTTCATTGAGAGTTATGTTGCTTGCATTTTTAGCGTTGCAGGTGTGCGGGATATACCTCGTTTTCTAAAAATCATTTGTTTTGGAAGATTTTCATTCATTGTTCGGTTCAGATTGTTCACTGCGCAAAACGGGTGAAAAACTTCCTTTTATGGCTATGTGTACTTTTTTTGGACATACGAACGCGTTCTATCTCAAAAACGCCGTATTTTACGTGGGGAAGCATGCCATGTGGGTATGCTGCGTCAGCCAGTACTGGCATTTGTTTGAAAAAGAATGAACAGTGGAACCTCTTCACAGCGAAGCGTGGACCTGGAAAAAAGCTTTGTTGTGAAGAAAAATCCGTTATAAAAAATGCAAATTACATCGTTGCTATTGGACAAGGATCTGGAGAACGATTTCTTTGTAAGCAATAATTTGTTGTAACGAGATTCTACTCTAGTCATGAAAGAACAAATCAAGCGTGTCAGTGCTCGGTGTAATTTTTCCTCATGTCACCCTGGACAAAAAAAAAAAAACCCTTCGACCAAAAATTAAGATGCAGTCAAGAAGGATAAGCAGACAACAGCAAGAACGAATGAAATAAAATGAGTGTGAATTGCACATGATGAATCATCACAGAATTTGACTCAATATAATTTTTCCAACTGCGATCTTTCTTTTCGGAAAGCTTGTGATCAGTGTAGCAAATATCCGAGAAAAAATGGATGATCGTCTGTGCCAGGCAAACTAAACTCCTCCGTGTCTTTTCCTCAAGCCACCTTCCCTAAAATTATGCTTTTTTCTAAATCTGGAGTCACGTTCTCTTTTGCGTCATTGGGCTTCCTTTAGCGTCGTGTTTTTTTTTCTTTTTCCTGTTCACGTGCCTCTCCTTCAAAAGTCCGTCTCTCAGCTAAGAAAAGTTAGCTTACCACCAGTTGGAAAGCCCTGAGCTATCCAACAGTTGCGCACTCACTGTACTCGAGTTTTGTAGTGTGTGCGAACAAGATTCGATGAAGTGCACTTCCGAGTCGAAGGAGGAATAGTTTCGTCGTTCAGTCAAGCACCAATTTGATGGTAACATGCGGTGAACTTCTGTGTTTCCTACAGTTACTGAAGCTGCAAGGAAAACGCGGGATGATGAAGGAGAGTATCGACCTGATCGAAGTCAATGCCGAAAGCCATCTTCCGAGTTCGCAAGATTGGATGACGAAACAGTTATCCTTGGAGCAGCCGTATCAACCTCCTCCGGAGAAGAAATCTGCGAACATGCCGGGTCGACACAAACATCAAATCACCTTCCTTGCGCAACAGGTTTGTATAGATTCGAGTACTTTTGTCCGATTTCTCCGGGTACTGCGGTTGAGTCTCCACGAGGAATCGGTTTTTCCGACGAACCGCAAAGGTCCACCCACTCTTTTAGCTTCCGGGAACTTATTCGTTTGATTTTATGAGGATATTCTTCTCCCAATCGAGATTTCTTTTATGAAAAAATCTCCATGTTTGTTCATTCACATGTTGTGTCGGCTCAGATCATTTGAATAGGTACAATAATTCAGTAAGTCCCCGCTTAGCAAATGATTCACGCAACGAAAATGTCATGAGTCACGACGAAATTTTTTTGGGATTAATCACATGACGATGAACTTTCTTTACCCAAAAATGATTGAATTTTGAAAAGCTTTGAACGAAAACTTCGAAATACTTTACAAAAATTCAGGGAAATTTAAATCTTTTATAAAAACTTAGGGAAATTAAAAAAGGAGGGTTTTTGCCTCTTCTTGTCTTCAAAAGTTGTAAGATCAAGAAAGATTGGTGCACGTGCTCAGCACGAATGCGTCAATTTTTTCTAGTTGAATTTTTAATTTCATGCTGGAAATTGGAAAAATACACAGTTGTATAATGGTTATACAATATCATGGTGTGCTGGTGTTCGGAACGAATGAAATAATTTACAATGCAGCCGTGAGGGAAATCACGTTTCGGATTTAGAAAATTCTGCATAACGAAACGCACCCAGCAGTAATGGACTACATGAATTTCGTTACGCAGGGACCCACGGCAGTTCGCTATGGGATATCTTCGTGAATGTCTGTCAAACTCAACATCGGAATACAATATATGGATTTTGAGTTTCGTTTGGTTAAAGATTCTCCGCAGAAAAATTTTATGATACTTTTCGGTTGTCTTCTTAATATTAACGATGTGAGGATGAAAAATCTGGGCGGAATATGTGAGTGGCTGGTGGAGATTCGCGGAAATGGGTTCTTGGTGAGAACAACTGCAGACTCCCCAGTATTGTACCCGTATTTTCTCGGTACGCGGGTGAATATTGTGATTATTTTGTTTTTGTGCATTCACAGGCGAAAGAAAGGGAGCTAGAACTGAAGAACCAGTGGTCGCAAAATCGATTCACACGGCGGCAGACGCAGTCCAAGTATGGGTTCTAGGTTTTTTTGTTTTTGGCTTTGCTATTTGTTGAAATACATAATTATCGAATACTTTCTCATTACTGTATTCACGATTTCTTCCGAATTTGTCTAAAAGCACCTGGAACAGGCCGAGTTACCCTTGCCTTCATCAAATACGAGTAAAAAGTAACTCCTGGATGAAAGCTTCGATTAGTGCGTCTTCTAATTGTGGTAGTTGACCAGCAGCGGGCTGCTGACAATAAGGTGCTCAACCCGTTCATTTTTATTTTTACCATGAGCAAGTTTTTACTTGAGTTCAAGGTTAGGGATCCTGTGATCTCTGCGCATGCATGAATTTTGGAAGAAAAATGCTGGAAGAATTTTCAACAAGCCCATCGTCCATTTTTGGGAAGTTACTGAGTGATGAATACTTCAAAATTGTTGACCAATCTCACTGTCATGGAAGAAAAGCATTGCTTACGTACAGTGAGGCCCCAAGATGCAGACAACCTTGTTCCTTTGTTGGAACTTTCGCATATTGGATTGCTTAGACTACAGTGGGAATGAATTCAATTGGTTCTATTGTTGATCAAAAATTAGGGAAAAAGCCCCCAAGAAGTTTAAAAAAAAATGAATTTGTTTCCCTTGTTGAACAGAAAAATAGCTCTGCAGAGGAAACCCACTTATGATCTGATCTTTTGGAAAGAAAACGAGGTGAAAAAGCAAAGAATAAGCTTCAAAAGTCTTCTTATANATGAGGATATTCTTCTCCCAATCGAGATTTCTTTCATGAAAAAATCTCCATGTTTGTTCATTCACATGTTGTGTCGGCTCAGATCATTTGAATAGGTACAATAATTCAGTAAGTCCCCGCTTAGCAAATGATTCACGCAACGAAAATGTCATGAGTCACGACGAAATTTTTTTGGGATTAATCACATGACGATGAACTTTCTTAACCCACAAATGATTGAATTTTGAAAAGCTTTGAACGAAAACTTCGAAATATTGTACAAAAATTCAGGGAAATTTAAATCTTTTATAAAAACTTAGGGAAATTAAAAAAGGAGGGTTTTTGCCTCTTCTTGTCTTCAAAAGTTGTAAGATCAAGAAAGATTGGTGCACGTGCTCAGCACGAATGCGTCAATTTTTTCTAGTTGAATTTTTAATTTCATGCTGGAAATTGGAAAAATACACAGTTGTAGAATGGTTATACAATATCATGGTGTTCTGGTGTTCGGAACGAATGAAATCATTTACAATGTAGCCGTGAGGGAAATCACGTTTCGGATTTAGAAAATTCTGCATAACAAAACGCACCCAGCAGTAATGGACTACATTAATGTCGTTACGCAGGGACCCACGGCAGTTCGCTTTGGGATATCTAAGTGAACGTCTGTCAAACTCAACATCGGAATAAAATACATGGATTTTGAGTTTCGTTTGGTTAAAGATTCTGCACAGAAAAATTTTATGATTCTTTTCGGTTGTCTTTTTAATACTGTATTTACCATGTGAGGATGAAAAATCTGTATGTGAGTGGCTGATGGAGATTCGCGGAAATGGGTTCTTGGTGAGAACAACTGCAGACTCCTCAGTATTGTACCCGTATTTTCTCGGTACGCGGGTAAATATTGTTATAGTTTTGTTCTTGTGCATTCACAGGCGAAAGAAAGGGAGCTAGAACTGAAGAACCAGTGGTCGCAAAATCGATTCACACGGCGGCAGACGCAGTCCAAGTATGGGTTCTAGGTTTTTTTTTGGCTTTGCTATTTGTTGAAATACATCATTATCGAATACTTTCTCATTACTGTATTCACTTTTTCCTCCGAATCTGCCTAAAAGCACCTGGAACAGGCCGAGTTACCCTCCCTTCATCAAATACGAAAAAAGAGTAACTCCTGGATGAAAGCTTCGATTAGTGCGTCTTCTAATTGTGGTTGTTGACCAGCAGCGGGCTGCTGACAATAAGGTGCTCAACCCGTTCATTTTTATTTTTACCATGAGCAAGTTTTTACTTGAGTTCAAGGTAAGGGATCCTGTGATCTCTGCGCATGCATGAATTTTGGAAGAAAAATGCTGGAAGAATTTTCAACAAGCCGATCGTCCATTTTTGGGAAGTTACTGAGTGATGAATACTTCAAAATTGTTGACCAATCTCACTGTCATGGAAGAAAAGCATTGCTTACGTACAGTGAGGCCACAAGATGCAGACAACCTTGTTCCTTTGTTGGAACTTCCGCATATTGGATTGCTTAGACTTCAGTGGGAATGTATTCAATTGGTTCCATTGTTGATCAAAAATTAGGGAAAAAGTCCCCAAGAAGTTTTTTTACTTAAACAAAGGGAACAACTTGTCTTTTTATCGAGACGTCTCCTTTGGGTGAATACTAGACTAGAAAACCTTTCTTTTGCTCCACTTTTTCGTTTCTTATTCGAAGTTTTCAGAAGAATATCTGTGCACAAATAAAGGAAAAAACTCTGAAAATTGAAGCACAAAATTAGCCTTTTGGATTTCAAAATAGATTGTGCTGTATCTAGAATTAACTTCATTGTTAATGTTTGTGAATGTGAAAAGCTCAATTTTTAAAGCATACATCAAACTATAGGTTAAGTTTTCAGTTTGTCTAGAAAAGTTCGTAAAGTGTCTGTAGTTTTTGAGACATAGTCCAGTTCTTGGGGCAGATTTTTTTTTTCCGGTTTCAAGTGTCCCAAGTCATATCATTTGCACGTCGGGGCCCCACTAAGCTAAATGTATCACCTCAAATCTTGAAAAATGAAGCGCATACCAGAGTGGTTTTGAAACAATAAGATGGGCAACCAAGTTTCAGTTTCATAAAAGGAAAATTTGTCAGCAGCTACAGGACTTATGAAAAATCCCGCAGATGTGCTTTTTTGTGGTTCCTAATGCAGCAGGAAGCTCCATGGGAAATTTCAAGATTTTTTTTAACGTGATGAATACGTCTGCAACATGAACCACGCATGGTGTTTTCTTCTATTCATCGAAATATTCCTGTCGTTCAACATAAATAATATTGTTTTTACTTGCGTTTACATTGTCTTTTCTCTCTGTGCATTTCATAGAACCCCTTGGAGCAGGCTGCAGTTCTAGATCGACTCCTTATACACAGCAACAAGTGGAGCAGAAAAGTAGGTCACAATCATTAATCAGTAACTGATATGTCAGTGCCCTTTAATGTTAACTCTAGTATGTGGAGATACATCCTCTTTGAAATGACTCCGTAGGGCGCACATTTTCCAGAGCCTTTTGAGCGGAAGCTCGACTTATTTCTAGACGCGCATCCCATGAAATTTAGATTCTGGTGAGGTTTTGAGCGCAGTGCAGTGTGTTCCCGTATGCAGCTATTGTATTGGCGGCATTGTCGGAAACGAAAACAAATGGGAAGATTCAGGAGTCAGGACCATGTATCCGTGTTATTTGTGGACAGGTCATTCCTTGAGATCCCTGAACGACGTCATTTTATCCCGTGATGCTGCCGACAGCCTTATTTACCGTACTTTTCTGTCTTGCTTTCACGATGGCTAATCCAATGGACGAATAAGCCATTGACACTGACACTGATTGCAGGCTACCGGTGACACAGACGCACAATTAGATTCACGCCTTCCTCATTTGAGTACTGTATTATCATATGAAGAGTTGTTTGGTACAAGAGGGTTCGGCACAAGTTAGCCAATGATATTTTCCAGTTACACATGGGAAACGTCGTCTGTTTCCCATTTGTTCCTGTTCATGATGTGCCATGAATTCCATTATTGATTGCCTTGTCCTTATGGATGCTTTGCTTAAAACTTGGAATTTGTTACATGTTCTCTGCAAGGCCTTCATATACAATACGAGGGTTCTAACAAAAGTTCTCGGAATGAAAATGGCGTCTAAAAGAGCTGAAAAAAATTATTCTTTAGGGCAAACATATTCTTTGGCATAAAAAAAACCAGCCCTGTTTGACAATTTTTTTTAATGTTTTGCAAAATTTACCCTGGCAGAGTTTTGCTATCCACTCAACAGATGAGGCGCCCTTCCTGCAGTTATTTTTTTGCAGCCCAGCTTTCCCCAAAGAATTCTTGAAATCAATGTGGCAGTAATTCCAAGGGTTGCCTTGGAATTACGACAGCCGCCAAAGTGGCAGCCACTTTTGAGCTGAAAAAAAATGGCCGCAACTTTGGCGGCTGTTGATGAAAATGGCAGAATTGCCTTGGAAGACCTGGAGGCAACCCTTGGAATTACTGTAATTTTGTACGCCTGTAATGACGTCAATAAGTGACTCGTCCCAAGACTAATGAATCAACCCTCGTAGCATGCGGTTCTTTCTTGTGGTATACTCAGATGCTAGGTTTAATTGAAGAAACAAGCGGTTCTCTGTCCCATTTCCTTCCTAAATTTGTGGCCAATATAATCCCAAAACTGCAGTACTATGCTGTATACGTGGTACCCGTTCATGCATGCATCAATGATGGCAAGTGACTCGTCCCAAGACTTGCAATCGAACCCTGGTACATCTTTTGTGCAGTCCAATTCCACCAAGGAAGAGATTATTATAGGATGTATAAATCCCTGGGCTTATTAGCAATAGCAACATTCATTCGTTCCTCGCCCGTTATTAAGCAAGCCAGCAGATAGGAAGTCCAAGCAAACAGTGAGAAAGTTTTCGCAGTTTGGGGCCTGCTGGAGGAAAAGAAAATGTCTGCTGCTGTGTAACTGACAAAGTGAGAAGAAGATCTTATAATTGTGTCCAAAATTGAACAATCGGATGTAATGAAAAAAGTAATTGCTACATTAGGTTTGTTTAAGATTATTAAGTCGCACGCCGTACCTTTCAGAAAGGGACCAGTTTATTTAATACTGAAGTTTCATGACATAATTTTTAAATTTGGGTGCTAAGGTGAAGAAAGTTTAAAGAGTATGAAATATGCCCGGAATATCCACCGTCTGACACTGAAATACAGTCCAATAATGGAAAGTACATTTAGCTTTTGAAAGCCAATTATTATTTTTTCCGTTGTTTTCAAAATTTTTG